AGTAAGTATCAGGTGTCTGAATTACTTTTTGGAAGGAGACTAGACATTTCTGTTATTTTTTCACTCTTAAAAACAATACCACTTCTGGGGGTGATTTTCAAACATTTTTATTGTTGAATCTCTAATCGATACAAAAGAACTCCCATGTGCCCCACCATTCAGCTTCAAGAACTGAGCCTCTGAGGCACCCAGAAGCCTGTTGTATGACCTCACCTTTCCCTACTCCACAAGGGTCGGCAATCATGCTCTCTGTCAACTGAAGGCTTAGCGTCCCCTTAATTTACCACATGCTTTGTAACCTAAGCAGTACTTGAGATTTTATATTCTTGGAGTTTGTAAATGGAATTACACTATTTGATCCTCCTGTGACTTGCTTCTCTCATTTACTAAAGTGATCATGAGAGTCACTTATGTCCATGTATTAGCTATGGTTCATTCATATCAATGCTGGGAAGAATATCACCACATATAATCTCAGAAGTTTCTAGAAAGAGTACCACCACCTTTTGGTGGGCAGTTAGGGCTCCAGTTTTTACAAGATTGTGCTACTGTAGCCATCCCAGTATACATCTCCTGTATGTGCATATATAAGATGCACACTGGCCGGCACCGCGGCTCAATAGGCAGAAAATGGTCCAAGTCCTTGGGCCCCCACATCCATATGGGAGACCCAGAAGAAGCTCTGGGCCCCATGCTTTGGCCTGGCAGCCCTGGCCACTGTGGCTAATTGGGGAGCGAACCAGTGGATGGAAGATCAACTTTCACTCTCTCTGCCTCTGAGGCCTCTCTGTAACTCTGCCTTTCAAATAAATAATAAATGAATCTCTTAAAAAAAAAAAAAACACAAAACTGCTGATATTCAGAAGAAGTTTCTATTCACCTACTTATGCCTGGTAATCTCTTGGTAAGCATCTCTTACAGAAAGCAGACATTTCAATAACCACATTAATATTTGGTATTTCAGGATTCATTACATGTTGCAATCACCCTAAATGTGTAAATCCCATTCTACATTCAGAAGAAAGTGAGAAATGTTTTGTTTTAAAGATTTATTAATTAGAAAGGCAGGCAGCTGGCGCCATGGCTCACTTGGTTAATCCTTCGCCTGCGGCGCCGGCATCCCATATGGGCGATGGGTTCTAGTCCCGGTTGCTCCTCTTCCAGTCCAGCTCTCTGCTATAGCCCAGGAGGGCAGTGGAGGATGGCCCAAGTGCTTGGGCCCCTGCACCTGCATGGGAGACCAGAAGCACCTGGCTCCTGGCTTCGGATCGGTGCAGCACTGGCCGTGGCGGCCATGTGGGGAGTGAACCAATGGAAGGACGACCTTTCTCTCTGTCTGTCTCTCTCTGTTATCTGACTCTGTCAAATAAAAAAAGAAAAGAAAAGAAAAGAAAAGGCAGAGTTACAGAGAGAGTGAACAGCAACACAGATCTTCCATCCACTGGTTTACTACCCAGGTGGCCATAACAGCCAGGGCTGGCCCAAAGCAGAAGCCAGGAGCCAGGAGTTTCTTCCAGGTTTCCCACATGGGTGGCAGGGGCCCAAGCACTTGGGCCATCTTGAGATGCTTTTCCCAGGCCATAGCAGAGAGCTGGATCAGAAGTAGAGCAGCTGGTGAGGAACAGCCCCTAGATGCTATAACATCACTGCAGGCAGCAGCTTTCCCTGCTACAACATGGCACTGGCCACAGGAAACCAAGACGTCTTCCAGTACTTGGTCCAATGCATAATTTCTTTTTTTTTTTTTATTTTTTAAGATTTATTTATTTATTTGAAAGTCAGAGTTACAGAGAGAAGGAGAAGCAGAGAGAAAGAGAGGTCTTCCATCCACTGGTTCACTCCTCAGTTGGCCACAATGGCCGGAGCTGCGCCCATCTGGAGCCAGCAGCCAGGAGTTTCTTCTGGGTCTCCCACACAGGTGCAGGGGCCCAAGGACTTGGGCCATCTTCTACTGCTTTCCCAGGCCACAGCAGAGAGCTAGATCAGAAGCGGAGCAGCCAGGACGTGAACCGGTGCCCATATGGGATGCCGGCACTGCAGGTGACGGCTTTACCTGCTGTGCCACAGCACTGGTGCCCCAATGCATCTTTTTTTTTTTTTTTTTTTTTTTTTGACAGGCAGAGTGGACAGAGAGAGAGAGAGAGAGAGACAGAGAGAAAGGTCTTCCTTTTCGGTTGGTTCACCCCTCAATGGCCGCTGCAGCTGGCATGCTGCAGCTGGCGCACTGCGATCTGAAGCCAGGAGCCAGGTGCTTCTCCTGGTCTCCCATGCGGGTGCAGGGCCCAAAGGCTTGGGCCATCCTCCACTGCACTCCCGGGCCACAGCAGAGAGCTGGACTAGAAGAGGAACAACCAGAACAGAATCCGGCACCCCGACCGGGACTAGAACCTGGTGTGCCGGCGCCGCAGGCAGAGGATTAGCCTATTGAGCCGCGGTGCCGGCCTCCAATGCATCATTCTTAAAATACTATAAATACTATTTTACTGCCCCTTTGTTTTGACAGAAGAATAAAATCCACCTGAACCTCAGAGACTAAGAAGACTTACTCAAAATCCTCTTGGGCCATCCAAGTTCACTTTGGGGTTCTTTGCATCAAAACAGCACTGATACTGCACTGAGGCACTCAAAATTACTTTTCTGATTAATTTAGGATAGAATGTGCTCTGGATGATAAACATTATGCTTCAAAAATTAATTTTTAAAATAATTAGATAAGACAGTACCTGGAGAATTCCACAAAACCAGTATTTGTTTGTTACAGTGGTTATTCCTGGGTAATTTTTCAACTACTTAAAAAATGCTCAGGACTTAACTGCCCATTTTCAAATTAATGACTCACATTCACGGTTAGGTAATGGACCTCACCCAGATCCCAAGGCTTCTAGGTTGCTGACTACCAGCCGCTTCTGTGGGCAAAGCAATGTTGGATGGACTTGGCCAGTGATATCCAGTGACTGCATTGATACATCATACCATGTGGCTGAATCCTTTCTCGATAACACAACAGTACCCGTGTGGACAGGCCCAGCGATCTTCTGACCTCAGTGTGGGTGCGCACAACCTTGTTCTCCCCTTTTATCAACAGTCTGCAAACCTCACCACTCATCTCATTACACTCGTTTGTTCACCACAAGGTGACCAGTATTTATTGAACTTCTGCTAGGCACGGGCGGTACACAGTGAACAAAACACAGACAAGACCCTGACAGTTTCCCTTCTGAGAAGAAGCCGGCCAAGGGGAAAATGGAGGCTTGCTCCAAAGCGGCCAGAACAACTGATGGCCTCATCAGATCACTGTGGAATACTCCGGAAACAAACATCGTTATCAACACTGAAGTAAGCTGAGCAAAGTGCTCTTAGCTAGATGGTTATTTACCGTTTTCAAAATGGTGAATAGTGCTATTTAGTAAGTTAAAAATCCATCATGGCTTCAAAATAATGACGGATGAAGAGCCCTCGATATGGATAAAGGACGACGAAGGTTAGAAACCAACTGCATTTTTCCTGTGCTATTTCAGTGAACTGTTAGCATCCCTACAAAAACCAAGTAATTGTCAGCTTATTAAAAATAGAAAAAGCAGCCGCAGCCACTGAAGAGCCAGCACAGTGGCAGGTGGTGTGAAGTGTGTCCGGCTTCTTGACAGCGAGGACTCTGCAGGCACAGGACTCAGGTACTGCTTGCCGAATGGCACCATTGAGGCCACCCAGCCCCCCGTGTCAGTCACACTGGTATCACGGAGGGACACCCCATGCTCACGGGAGAGGGACAAACACAGAAGCTCAAGCTCCACAAACTGCTTTGTAACACACACAGTTTACTCTGGCTGTCATCTGTCAGCCCTGTCTGAAACAGCAGCACAGTGGGAGCAGGAGGGCAGGTTGACAGCCCAGGGAAAACCTGCACTGCCTGGGCTTGGCCAGTCCCTGGTAACCAAAGTGGCAGTGGATGAATCTGCAAAGAGTGGCCCTGGCCTTTGGCCACAGGAGGCCGAGAGAGGAAAGAATTAAACTTGCATGCCAAGTTTACCTCAATGGTCCCTGAATAAATGCTAGACTCTCACAGGACTAACAGCAATCCCCAAATATGCACACAGAGAGTTCCCGCCACACACCTCTTCTTGGAACTGAACAAAGAACCCACAGTCTAAATACAGTAAAGATGGCTTAGGAAGTACACAGAGCAAAATGTTCACAACCTCCAAAAATTTAAAGAGATATGGCAACATAGAAAAACACAGAATTAAGTATTTTGCTCGAAACTTTGCCGTATAAACTGCTTATCATAAAGGGTGAAAAAGACAAGCTCAAGGCTGGCGCCACGGCTCACTAGGCTAATCCTCCACCTTGCGGCGCCAGCACACCAGGTTCTAGTCCTGGTCGGGGCACCGGATTCTGTCCCGGTTGCCCCTCTTCCAGGCCAGCTCTCTGCTATGGCCCAGGAGTGCAGTGGAGGATGGCCCAAGTGCTTGGGCTCTGCACCCCATGGGAGACCAGGGGAAGCAACCTGGCTCCTGGCTTCGGATCAGCGTGATATGCCGGCCGCAGCGCGCCGGCTGCGGCGACCATTGGAGGGTAAACCAATGGCAAAAAAGGAAGACTTTTCTGTCTCTCTCACTATCCACTCTGCCTGCCAAAAAAAAAAAAAAAAAAAAAAAAGACAAGCTCAAGGTCCTTGATATGCCAGCCACTGCTGTCCCGCCCTGTCACTGCAGCCTCAATGGATTCGAGGTCACCAAACCCTTAGGAGGAGGCAGCTCGACTTTTCATCAGTTTCTGAAGGGCCTTCTCAGCTGCACCTGGTGTGTAGCAGGAAATGAAAGCAAAACAAAACAAAATTAGCTGAAGCAGCGGCCTCACCGCAGGAGGCTGTTCCGACAACTGAACAAGAGGCTGTGGAAAGAAAGAAGATGCGGGGTCGCCAGTTTTCATCTTAAATATAGACCTTCTTGTAACTGTCAAGTGTTACCACTACTCTTTCAAAAGAAGTAATCAGAGAATACCTTCCCAGTCCCGCGTCACTGCACACCTGTCCACCTTTGCATTTTGAAGACATTACCTGAAGAGCTTAAAGCAGAAGCAGACTGCTGTCATGGAAGGGCAAATGGTGGGACATGGACTGATGGAAAGAGGAATGGGGGTCATGCAGCCAGAAGCAGCCCTGATGGGAACCCACTAAGGGGCGAGCCGGGCCCGGCAGGGGACACTGGCATGCTGTGACATGTGAGGTCTTTGTGATGTACTACAGAGTCCTCACCGGGCTGGGAAACACCAACAGCCTAGGACCAAAAATATGTTTTGTTTTGAGCTACTGGTTAAGTTTGCTCAACAAGTGCTTACCGGTCACTGGTTCTCTTTATTACACTCAACCAGACAGGCTGATCGGCGGCGGCCAGCACTTTCTGAAACCTCTGAGTAAGCGAATACCAACCTGCATGCAAAGCTGAAGCCCGTTCAACACGGAACTCAGCCTCATCACTGTCCAAGATAAGAGGCCTAAAAGGCAAAGTGTGTGGGTGCAAAGCAGATGGCAGGCAGGTTGAGGGCCCATCCTACAGGCTCTCAGGTGAGCAAGGACAGGGGCTACCCCACCTGTGGCTGTCCCTCCTCTCAGTCCCCTCCCATGCTGCTCCAGCAGGCACTGGGCAGACAGCCCCCTCAACATGTCTTCAAGAACTAGGCAGGCAACACAAAGAAACACCAAGGTCTTCACAAAGCCATGAGGTTTTCCATCCAACACTGGTGGGCCAAGTATCTCCAAACTGAGAAGACCTGCCATCTTGAGACCATGCATAAATCTGATTCCCTTTAAAGAACGGGTCCCCTCTTTTGATAGACTGACTCACTTTTGCCTCACAATTTTTGAGCACATCTCCTGTCCTCTATGAGTTTTTATACATTCACAGTAGCAATGGTTTATTTACATTCCTCCAATGACTGCAGGAAAATCAGTATCTATTTGTAATCATAATACCCTAAAAATGAGTTATTTTTTAATTCTTTCAAATCAAAGGCTATAAGTAGCAACATTCTTGTTCAAAGACTCAAAATAGGAAGTTGGTCACTTGCAAAAACAGGCCTGCTAAAGGCCAAAAAAAAAAAAAACCCACCTACCTAATGTAGAGGTCTAAGAACCTGTTGTGATTTTTCAAGCAGGATATACAGGAATATAATCATCAAATAAATGACTTTAACTAAACTAGGACAAGCAGGAATTAATATCCACTCCTTTCTCTGGCATTCAAAATCCGTCAGGCAAAGTGCTCAAAACTTCATAGACAGTATTCTCTTTGATTATGTTACTTGAGATAAAAGTAATTTCACAATTCCCAGTGATTAGCATTACATGATCATTTCAACCTTGATCAAAATAAATTACCTAGCAATTTTAAAGTTGTGTTATTTGAAAATGGGGAAACTGCTATATAAAAATGCTAACAGAACAACATCTGAGTAGAGGTAAATCTGGAAGGAAGCCAGCATTTCACATTCCTTTACTGCTCCAAAGCTAGGTCTACATGGCACAGAATTTCAGACAAACATTCCCCATTCTCCAGTCAGGTCTTCACGTCACACATGCAGACCAACAAGAATCACTGAACAGCAAAACTTCACGACAGAAAGACAACCAAATATTAGGTGGTTCCAAAGCATAAAGACGGGTAGTGTTGTGGTGCAGCAGGTTAAGCCAGTCTTGGGGCACCTGCATCCCATGTCAGAGTGCCTGGTTTGAATCTTGGCTACTCTATTTCCGATCCAGCTTCCTGTTAATGCACACTCTGGGAGGCAGCAGGAGATGGAGCAAGTGCTTGGGCCTTGCACCTCCATGGGAGACCCAGGGAGCTCTTGGCCCAACCCTAGATGCTGTGGTTATCTGGGGAGGGAACCAGTAGACAGAAGATCAATCTCTCCCCACTCCCAACTCTGCCTTTCAAGTAAATTTTAAAAGTAAACTTTTTTTTAAGGTCATATTCACAGGTTCTAAATGGACATGTCTTTTAAAAAATATAAAAATGCAAAAATATATGCAAGGCAATTTTAATTATTTGTAAAAGTACAAAATCATCACCTAAATGTCCACCCGTGAGAGCTACCATTTACTGAGCACTTGCTTTGTGCCGTACGTGAGTGTGAGGTTACCACATGGATCACCTCCCGTAATTCTCACAACTGTCTCTTAGACCAGGACAGGTGGCATCTCTAGTCTGCAGATAAGAGTATGTAGGCACAGTGAAGTCACTGGCAGGGCTGGGAGAAGAATTTAGAGCTCACGCTCCCACTACACCTTGCTCCGCCTCTCACGCGGGAGTTTCAGGGAGTGAAGGCACCTCCAGCTAACACAGGAGCTGCTCTGCTGGATGAGCACCGTGACTGCTAGGAAGGCAGCACACCTAGCATACAGTGAGCACTCGGTGTGGTCGACAGCAGACATTTATGTACATTCTCTCTCTCTCACACACACACACACACTCCCTAAAACAAGAAATAGGACACTTTTTAAATCTTACATGCTTCTTATGGTTTAAACTTTAGGCAAGAATATTATTTTCTTCAATCTTGAAACAATCTCAAACTTACTGAAAAGTTGCAAGGACAATGCAAAGTATCTCTACCTCAAAATCATCACGAGTAATCTTGCCAATCTGATATTTCATCACCCCAAATACTTTAGTGTGGGGAGCAACTGGGACTAGACTAAGTTACTGGAATTAAGACTTATTCTATGCATCTGCTCTCCCACAGTATGGCGCTGGGAGAGGAGGAAATAGCTTCTACACAGCTGCCTCCAGTTCAACCAATAAGCAGCAGGACCTACTCCTGATTGGAGGAGAGCAGCGTACTCGGCGTGTGGGTAGCAGAGTTGGGATTGGTGGAAGAGGACTATAAAGGAGGAGAGAGACAACATGCACCAGGAACATCTATCTGAAGGAACACCTGTGCAGCCCCCGAGAGAGCCGGCCAGCGGTGTGCCGCTCCCCCGCAGAAGTGGGGAAAGTGGCAGGGGGAACCGCCCTTCCACGGAGGTGGAAGGGACGGTAGCCAACCCGGGAAGAACCAGCAGCAAACCCGGGGAGGGCCGAGCAGACAAAAGAACAGCGCAGGGTCCTGTGTCGTTCCTCCGCGAAGAGGGGGAGCGACATAATGGTGCCGTGACTCGGATATGAAGCCTAGGCAGGGCTTAGTGTCGTTCCTCCATGAAGAGGGGGAGCGACACTTTAGTATGTGTTTTTCTAGAAACAAGATGAAATCAGTGTCCTAGGTAACTACAATACAACCATCAAAACCAGAAAATTAGCATTGAAACATTTTTACCATCTCATCCTCAAGCCCCATTCAAGCTTTACCCAATAACAGCCTTTTTTTTTTTTTTTAATTTAAAGATTTATTTATTTGGAAGGCAGTTAGGGAGGGAGGGAGACAGGGAGAAAGAGAGAGAGATCCTCCATCTGCTGGTTCATTTCCCAAATTGGCTACAATGGCAGGGGCTGAGCCAAGCAGGAGCCAGGAGCCTAGAACTCCATCCAGGTTTCCCACATGGGTGGTAGCAGGGGTCCAAGCCCTTGGGGCCATCTTCTGCTGCTTTCCCTGGTTCATTAGCAGGGAGCTGGATGCAAATCAGGGCAGCCAGGACTCAGATCCAGGAAGTCAGTGTCACAGGTGATGGTTTAACCTGCTGAGTCACAACACTGGCCCCCAACAACGGCCTTTACAGCAAAGAGATCCAGGCCAGAATCATGTGTTGCACTAGCTGAATGTCTCTTTAGTTTCCTTCAGTTTGGAAGAGTTCCTCAGTCTTACCTGGCCTTTCATGACCTTGAAATGTTTGAAGCTCACTGGCCGATTACTTGGTAGAATGTCTTCAAAACTGGGTGGGTGGTGAGATTCAGGCCAAGTGCCTGGGAGGGAACATCACAGAGGCCTGCCAGGTGGCACCACTGCGATTGGTCCCTCTGCTGAGCATGTGTACTCGAATCACCTGGCTAGGGTGGCACCTGCCAGCTTCTTGCTGGAATGCTCCTCTTTCTCTCCTTTGTAACCAGTAGCTATCTGGGGGAGAGGTATTTTGAAATTTAAATAATCTAATCCTCAAACTCTGAACTTAATAAGGACTCTAAACTTGGGTTTCCTTGCAAAGTAGGTGGAAACTATATGAGAACTGTTAGCTTTCTCTTTTAGTCAATACTCATAGGTTTGTTTTTGTTTTGAGATTTTATTTATTTATTTATTTGAGAGGTAGAGTTAGTTACAGAGAGAGAGAGAGGTCTTCCATCCGCTGGTTCACTCCCTAGATGGCTGCAACAGCCGGAACTGGGCCAGTCCGAAGGCAGGAGCTAAGAGCTTCTTCTGGGTCTCCCACGCAGGTGCAGGAGCCCAAGCACTTGGGCCACCTTCCACCGCTTTCCCAGGCCATTAGCAGTGGATTGGAAGTGAAGCAGCGGACCATGAACTGGCACCCACATAGGATGCCGGCATTGCAGGTGGCGGCTTTACTCACTACGCCACAGTGCTGGCCCCTACTCATAGTTTTTAATTCATGACTATCACAGGCCTCTTAAATTCTGATGACCAATGACCTCTACATTTGGCCAGTGGAAGCCCCTCCAAACAGGCTTCTGTGTCCTTCTGGCATGTCTCCATCATTCTTCGAAGACTTCCTTGCTTTCTAACGTAACATGTTCTGCGTTCATCTTAAACGTTTTCCAGCCCAAACCAAAGGTGAGCCATTGCACCAAGAAGCAGACAGTGGGGATCTGGACGCACTTACTGCTCTTGAGCACTGCTGCCCCAGACACCCCAGAACTAGGAAAGGGAGAGATACGTGCATGGGCACATGCATGCACGCCAACACACAAGCATGCCCTGTGCAGTTTCCGTACTGACTACAGCCCAGGCATTCACACCAGCACTTCTAATTCCACGTAACTCACTACTTGTCTTCTTTTCAAAAGCATTACTCTAACATACTGCCCCAACACAAGAACTGCCTGCCATTATCCTGAACATACCCACTCAATCAATGCCTTCCTATTGAACCAATCTCCCACTGCTGCTGCCAGCCCAGTCCAACGTGGCCTTTCTCCCCTCCCAGGCTCTGATATGCCACATCAGCAGCTCCCTCTGTGTGAAGGCCTCCTCACTCTGCTCAGCTTCCAACACCACTAGCCAGGTCATCTACCTTGCTCTGCCTACTCAGTGGCCTTTAGGACTTAATTGTTCAGCAGACAAAAAAGGAAGAAAAGAATAATACAAAAAAGGAAGAAAAGAATAATACTTTTAGAATTAAAAATAAATAAAATCATACTTTTTAAAAAGGACACTTACTAAGTTAGAACTTCAAGATAATATAGAGCTAAGCTAAATCTCACCTTTGCAACATCTAGGAAGAACAGGTTTGCTAAGTAAATTAATGGTGTAAACAAGCTGCTAACCCAGATGTCTAACCTACTTAAGAAAACTAATTGTTTTCAAGCACTTTAAAATCACTAAGCATGTACTTACCTTTAATTATTGTCTAATTACAAATGATTTTCATTTTCTTCATTATAGCTTTGATAAGCCCTATTTGATTACACATAAAAATTACAACTTACACTTGATACAGTTAAGATCCTTTTTAAAAATGCCCCTCTGTTAATCAATTTGGTTTTTCAATTAATTGCCTGAAATAAAGTTTTTAGCCAATCAGTTATTTTTCTTTTTCAGTTGCTCTGTCATGCAGCTCAGAAAGAAAAAATGCCTTTCAGGGTCTATCCTGGGCACCTCCTAAGACTTCCCACTCTGCATGCCATGGGCACAGGGCTGAGGACACCCATGAAGCCATCTTCCCCCATCATAGCTTTCTGTATTTTACTGAAGACACTCCACTTGACGAAACAGTGAGCCACAGTGTCAATTAAAAAACTATGCTGAGCTGCATTTAAGCAGGCTTGGAAGAGGGCACCCTTTGGAGTCACGCACCTGGTTCTACCACCTCCACAGCCACAGGGCCTCAGTGTCTCCCTGGGTAACCAGGAGGACTGGACGAAGTCATGGGAAGTGTCTGCTGGGTAACCAGCGTGCGAGGAGGATCATTTATGTCCTCTCCCCAGAACCTGTGGAAAACCTCAGCAGGATTCACAGCGAAGGTTGAAAACGTGTCCACAGGGGATCTCAGGAGAACCCGCTCAAAACCGGGTCAGAACTTCTAGCATGAAGCATGTGACTCCCTCAGTGGCCCCAGCCAAACCCAAGGGAACACAGAAAACACCAGCATGAAAGCTCCATGACCCAAAACTGAGTGACCAACTAACTCTCACTCAGGAGAAGGTACCAGAATTCTGGGAGAAAAGAAATGAGGGATCAACAGAATTTATTCTGTACCTCAACTTAAATAAAGGTGCCAAGTGGCCCTAGAGACCGTAACAAATCCAGGCCTCAGGGCACTGGAATGACTGGATGGATGAGACAGTTCTCAGCAGGGAGTTATCGTGTGTGTGTGTGTGTGTGTGTGTGTGTGTATTTTAACCTAACCAGCTCTGTTGCCTGAATACTAGCATTTCACATCTGACATAAGATCACATTATTAAAAATCCATTAGAGATTTATTTATTTATTTGAAAGGCAGATCTTCCTCTCTCTCTCTCTCTCTCTCTGCCTTTCCTGTGTAACTCTGCCTTTCAAGACAGAGAGAAAGACAGAGACAGAGAGAGAGAGAGAGGTCTTCCATCTGCTAGTTCACTACCAAAATGGCCACAATGGCAGAAGCTGGGCCAAGCCGAAGCCAGGAGCCTTGAGCTTCTTCCAGGTCTCTCACATGGGTGCAGGGCCCAAGGATTTAAAACATTTTCCACTGCTTTCCCAGGCCATAGCAGAGAGCTGGATTGGAAGTGGAACAGCCAGGACTTGAACTGGCACCCATATGGGATGCTGGCACTTCAGCTGGCAGCTTTACCCACTATGTCACAGTGTTGGCCCCATAAGTAGGCAATCTTAAAAACCAAAGCTGCAGGCTGACGCCGTGGCTCACTTGATTAATCCTCTGCCTGTGGTGCCAGCATCCCATATGGGCACTGAGTTCTAATCCTGGTTGCTCCTTTTCCAGTCCAGCTCTCTGCTGTAACCCAGGAGGGCAGTGGAGAATGGCCCAAGTGCTTGGACCCCTGCACCCGCATGGGAGACCAGGAAGAAGCACCTGGCTCCTGACTCCGGATCGGCGCAGCGCCGGCCATAGTGGCCATTTGAGGGGTGAACCAACGGAAGGAAGACCTTTCTCTCTGTCTCTTTCTCTCACTATCTATAACTCTACCTGTCAAATAAATTAAAAATAAAAAGCTGCTAGGGTGGGTGCTGTGGTACAGCAGGTTAAACCACTACCTGGGACACCTATATCCTATACTGGAGGGCTGGCTCCTGTCTGGCTACTCCACTTCCAGTCCAGTTTCCTACTAACATGCCTGGGAAGGAAGCAGATGATGGCCCAAGTACTTGGGTCCCTACCACTTGTATGGGAGACTCAGATGGAGTTCTGGACTTCTGGCTTGGCCTGACCCAGTCCCAGCTGTTACAGGCCTTTGAGAAGCGAACTAGCTATCTCTCCCTCTTCCTCCAATGTTCTGCCTTTCAAATAAATCAATACTTCTTAAAAAAGATGTTAATAATGTGGCACACTATGGGCCATCCTAGTAGTCAGAAGAAAGAAAAAAAAAAAAAAGATGACGGGCAGGTGTTGTGGTGCAAGGAAGTTAAGCTGCCACCTGGGATGCCGACACCCCGTCAGAGTGCCTGGGACGGAGGCCCACTTCCACTTCCGATCCAGCTCTCAGCTAACTCAACACACAAGGCAGCAGATGACCGTTCAGGTACTTGGGTCCCTGATGGAGTTTCTTTTTTTTTTTTTTTTTTTTTTTTTGACAGGCAGAGTGGACAGTGAGAGAGAGAGACAGAGAGAAAGGTCTTCCTTTGCCGTTGGTTCACCCTCCAATGGCCACTGCAGCCGGCGCGCCGCGCTGATCCGAAGGCAGGAGCCAGGTGCTTCTCCTGGTCTCCCATGGGGTGCAGGGCCCAAGCACCTGGGCCATCCTTCACTGCACTCCCTGGCCACAGCAGAGGGCTGGCCTGGAAGAGGGGCAACCGGGACAGAATCCGGCGCCCCGACCGGGACTAGAACCCGGTGTGCTGGTGCCGCTAGGCGGAGGATTAGCCTAGTGAGCCGCGGCGCCGGCCCTGATGGAGTTTCTAACTTCTGGCTCCTGGTTTTGGCCAAGCTCAGCCCCAGTTGTTGCAGGCATTTGGGGGAGTGAACCAGCAGAAGATGGAAGATATACCTTTTTCTCTCTCTGCCTTACAAATAAAGAAAACTACATCAACTTTAAAAAGAAATGGATGAGGCAAAAAAGCTAGTCCTACGTAATTAACCAATTGGAAATAGAAAGGCGCCAGCAGGTGAGGCATGTCCAACTTGTGGCATCAACTGAGAACACTAGGATCAGGAGGGATTCTCAAAGTTGCCAGCAAGTAATGCCAGGTGATCTATCTGCTCTTTTTCCGATGTTTAAAATGCCTATGCTTTCTTGGCATGTGAGACTTAGTGTGGTTTTAGTGTGCTGTTTCTTTTAAAACTATGAAACTCTGTTGATGCTGAAGAGATGGAAGAGGGAACGGCATTCCTCCCACACTGCTGCAAGAGCAAAGCCAGACTGCGAAAGCATGAAGCAAACGCCGAGGTGTGGTCTCTGCCTGTTGTTCTCCTCTCACACAGAAGCACAAAGCCAACAACACATTGCATTTGCACAGTGCCTGTGCTTCCATCAGCCTACAAGGAAAGTTGACAGGAGGCCTCCCCTGGGATTACCAAGGGCCTGGGCCCCAACGGACGCATCTCCAGGGACTCCAATCCTTGCAAGTCCAACTGATCTATACAATTAAGACATGACTAGTTGATGCAATCTAAAACAACTCATCTACACCATCTAAAACAACCAGTCTGTAATCCAAGACACAACTAGTTTATGTAATCTGAAGCATACCCAGTCTCTGCAATCTAAAACACAAGTGAGTCTGCCCAGGAAGGAGACACATTCCTGTGCTTGTCAAACTAGGAATTGTATCTACCCTCGCCCTGCCACACATCCTGCAGACGCTGATAGCATTCCTTCAACAGGCATCCTAAATTCCCTCCTTTCAACACACCCATCAGCCAAGCTTCTGTTCAGTCTCTCCGTCCCTCAAACTGGTGGAAGGGCAGCACCTCCAGCTTTTTTTCTCTACTTGGCAGGGAGAGAGCAGGTGAGAAGAGAAGGTGTTGGGGTTCACATAACTCATAGACTAATTTGCATTTAAAGTATTTCCTGATTGTGAATTGTCAGGCAGCCCTTGTTTAAAGCTGTTCACTCATGAGCAGAGCAGGTGGAGAAAATTAGGCATTCTATATAAAGTACAGCCATCCCAGGGTCATGCCAGGGCCGCCCTCCTGCCTAGCAGCCCCGTGGATACCAAAACCCACAGATGCTCAAGCCCCTCCCATGCAGTGGCAGAATGCAGGTACAGAATCTGCACACATCCTCCCATGCACTGCAAATCATTTCTAGATTACTGACAGGACCCAATACAACATAAATGACATGTAAATAGTTACGTTGTATTCTTTAGGGAATAACAATAAGGGGGAAAAAAGACTATCTATTTAGTGCAATTTTTTTTCATATTTCCAATCTCGTTTGGTTGAATCCAGGATGCAGAACCCTTAGATCCAGATTGCCAGCTGTACACTGTTCCCCTAAAACAGATGCTTATTTTAAAAGGGAGGGGAACAGTCCAGAGCCCCCTTCCATAACACCCCAAATGTTTCCTCTAGCAGGAAAGCTGGCCCAGCAACATCAGGAAGCTATTGCAAAGCTACTTGGCCTGGAAGAAGCTTTCTGTCTGGTTTCTTCCCCAGGCAGAGCTGCACAGAGTTCCAGCACACAAACCCAGCGCCAAGACTGTCTGGGTCACTTCCTACCTGGACAGCTCAGTTAACCCCTCAGGAGCGAGCTCCCAGGAGCTTCACCAAGATTAAATGAGCTCATGAACAGCACACAGAACACCCTGCTTGGGATTCAACACAGGAAGCACAAAGGAAACAATATTATCTTTCCCTTCTAATAAATAAGTTCCCACCCCTTCCTACCCAGCCTGTAGTCTGCCCTGATTCCAGTTTATTCCCACCACCCCCCAGCCTGGCCTCTTGCAAACACTGGCACTCACCAGTACACTCCGAAGGCCGCATCCATCCGCAGGTTAGTTACCCACACGACCTGGCCCAGCCAATCAGCACTGAGCCCAGATAAACCCCACCTCGCTGCGTCCTCCTTCACCGGCTGAACACTGCACAGCCGCTGGCCACCGCGAGGACAATGCAAGCACGGTCCTCTGTGTCACTGTTTTCCTTTTTCTTTGGGGAGGGGAGAGGGTACTGTTTCAAATGCTTTCTGTTGCTTCATGCTCCCTCTTCCACCCAGGCTTCAGCCCCCAGCGAATGCTTCCCAGGAAAACGTCCTCCAATATGCAAGGCCATGGCTCTCCCACGCCTGGGGTCTCCTACCTGACCCCTCTCCCGTGCCCCAGACGACATACTTTACAGAATGCCTTTGGGTGCAGGCCTGACCTCTCAGCCTCCCCAGACGTGCTTTAGAAAGTCAGCCCAACAATGGTGGGGATTTTCACAGACTGCTGCTCACCGCTTTATCCTGAGACACTAGCCTAGCTCCTGGCACGCGGAAAGTGCTCATAAACATTTGCAGACTTACTTCAAGGGAACCTCGATTCGCTTATTTATTCAGCAAATGCTCACGGAGCACCCCAAGTCAGAGGCTGGGGTAACAGTTGAGACGGCGAGTTCCTGTCCTGGTGCTCACTGGAGTGACAGGAGGAGCCCCCAAAGCCCACAGGGAGACCTCTCCAGGAGACACAGTGGCAAGCAGGAATGAACAATGTGCAGGCCTGTCAGATCCACGGCTCCTAGAGGCCAATTTTTTTTTTTTTTAAGATCTCTTTATTAGAAAATCAGAGTTACATAGAGAAAGAAGGAGAGGCAGATAGAGAGAGGTCTTCCATCCACTGGTTCACTCCCCAATTTGCCACAACAGCCAGAACTGCGCCAATCTGGAGCCAGGAGCCAGGAGCTTCTTCCCAGCTTCCCATGTGGGTGCAGGGGCCCAAGGACTTAGGCCATCTTCTACTGCTTTCCCAGGCCACAGCAGAGAGCTGGATCAGAAGTGGAGGAGCCAGGACTCGAACCGATGCCCATAAGAGATGCCAGCACTATGGGCAGTGGCTTTATCCTCTACGCCACAGCACCAGAGGCCAAATCTTACATAGGCCAACCCTGAGCACAGCTCTGCTGAGAACCGTCACCTCCAGCACCCCTCCCTGCTGAGGTTTCTCTCGCACTAACCCTTTTTCTGTTCTCATTCTGTTCCCATGATCAACCACCAAGGAAGCACTGTCACTCCTGGCTGACCCGCAGTCTCTGAGTGTAAACCGACAGCTCCCCACTTCTCTCTCGAGCTCCAGACCCTCGTTTCTGCCTGTCAAGTTACAGTCAACGTGGAGCAAATCTAAAACTTGCCCAGAGCAAAAACGCACAGCCTTTCACCTCCCCTGTGCAGTCTACCACACACCCAAGCCCCTGCTCCACCTGCGGAAACCACCGTATCTTACCTCATGCTTCCTTCACCTTGCCTGGGGTCACCACCACCCCGGCCCCTTTCTCGTCAGATCCCATGGCGCCCACTCCAGAAGTGCCTCTAAATCTGGCCTTTCCACTTTCACTGTCATGGCCTTAATTTATGTTCTTCAGTCGCTTCTTGTGCTCTGGCTGCCAGTCCCCAGTCTCTCCTCTTCCTTCAGACCTCAACATGGAGATCAAATTAGGCATGCTGCCTCTTTAAACTGTTTACTGTAAGACAAATCCAAAGCCCATCAAAATACACACAACTCTGAAACACCCTTCCAGTGTCCTCCAGACAGCCAACACTGCCCCGCCACTAACCCTCACCCGTGGGCCCCCACTCGCTGCCTCTTTCCTATGCGCCTGCCACAGCCTGCAATACCAACAATGATAATGAAAACAGTAGCTAAAGCTGACCCAAGCAAAGCGCTAGCCACTCTGAGCAAATTCTCATTCAACCCTCGCAACCACGGTATGGCAGACATTGAGTGTGCACCTCACTTCATGAGAAAGCGCAGAGGACAGGCCTTGCCCACTGGCTGACCCGAGGGCCCCACTGCCCCCGCTGACTCACCGCCCTCCTCACCAACAGCTCTTTAAGGCACAGCTCAAGGCTTCCTCTTTGGGGGCCTCTTTCCTTCTCTGTCCTCTGGCCTCCCTCGGCCTGGGCTTTACGACAGGCAGCTTCACTCTTTCCCTTTACATTACTGAGTTCCAACGGCAAACTCGGGTGTTTCACCTTCGTATGCTCGGCACTCCAGGGCCCAACACGTCATTTATGTTCAATACTTATGTAATAATAAACACATCCTTCCAAGAACTAAATTCGACAAGCTCACATTCAAGTCGACCCAGCGCGTTACTGCTTCCAGACACACTACACGGATAACCCTGCCTTCTCCTCTCTCTGCCCCAGCACTCTGATGCCAAAGTGTCAAAGCCCTCGCTGGGGTGCCTCCCACAACCAGCTGACAGCTTTATCACAGCCGGGCAGGCCGGTGAGTGGTGGGCTGTAGCCTCCTTGATTACAGGAGTCAGGTGAAGCTAAGAAGTACTTCTTTCCCTGGGGAAAAGGGTCAGAGGAGACACAGGCGCAGGTTGCCAGACTTCAGATCTTTGTCATCTAAAATGTGACAGTGGGTGATGAACATAAAAATTAATGTATATAACATGGTTGAGCTCATAAAGACCAACAGGCTGGTGGAAATATAGCTAAGTGATATCACTCAGAGGGACCTACTTACATAATCACCATGAATCAGATAAACTCTGCCCTGAGTTTTAACTCGCCTTCTAGATTTTTTTTTTAAATACAGGCAGAGTGGACAGTGAGAGAGAGAGACAGAGAGAAAGGTCTTCCTTTGCCGTTGGTTCACCCTCCAATGGCCGCTGTGGCCAGTGCCCCGCACTGATCCGAAGGCAGGAGCCAGGTGCTTTTCCTGGTCTCCCATGGGGTGCAGGGCCCAAGGACTTGGGCTCCACTGCACTCCTGGGCCACAGCAGAGAGCTGGCCTGGAAGAGGGGCAACCGGGACAGAATCCGGCGCCCCGACCGGGACTAGAACCCGGTGTGCCGGCGCCGCAAGGTGGAGGATTAGCCTAGTGAGCCGCGGCGCCGGCCTGTGCCTTCCAGATTCTACAATTGTTTAGCAGCTAATAGAGTTGACTCTTTTTTTTTTTTTTTTTTTACAATGGTGCAGAATGGTTACCTGCCCACAACATATTCAGAGAGAACAAAGTAATTTTTTAAAATGTGTGAGTCAATGAAACCATCATCCTTGCAGTCAGTAAACACTATGGGAGGCAGGCAGTCCCAGAACTTGAAATAAGGTTTGCTCCTGTGAGTGAGGCTAATAAACCCTGCGAGCACACAGTCACTGTAACACGTGCCAAGAGACGGCCTGTAATTAGGATGTAGTTCCCATGCTGCCATGCTGCACCTGAGTGTTGGTGTTGCTCTACAGGGAGAAAAAAAAAAAGGAAAAGGGGATACAGAGCAATGGTTTTCATGATGCTGCATACATTCCCTTTAATGAGATGTCTCCTGAGACGGCCCATTCTACTTTTTGTCATTGTTAATATGTTTCTTTCTTTCTTTCTTTCTTTTTTTTTTTTTTTTTTTTGAAGTGATGGTAGTAAATGGTGAGTTTTTAAAATGTCTTTAGTTGGCAACTTTGGAATTGGAAACTCACGCTGGGGATCCCAACACTGCCGCTCGGCGTTGCAGTTCCCTGAAGCCCGCATCTGAAGCACCACCCTATAGTGTCTGAGGAGTGCTGGGAAAACACCCAAGCCGAGCCTGCTGGACTACAGCTTTAGAAAGGAGTAATTCATCTGGAAAGACAATCACGAATTCCCCCAACTTTACACTAAAAAACAAAAGTCTGGTACTTTAAGAAAACATTTTGCACACATCACTAAGACTCAGTGCACACTGCCATCTTAACTCTAAGAAGGGGCGAGCCTTCGGCTTGAGAGCACTTGGCACACCTGCATCCCATAACTGGGGTTGCCTGGTTTGGGTTCCAGCCTCACTCCTGAAAAAGGAAAGCAACCTTTTTTTTTTTTTTTTTTTTTTTTTGGTAGCCAATCTATCAGTACCCCCAACACAGTGGGAAATGTAGAGCTAATCAAATGTACTTAAGTGTGTCTGAAAACAGAACATATCACAGTCACGCGTCACTTAACGATGAGAGCACGTCCTGAGAAATGCACTGTTAGGTGATTTTGCTGTTAGGTGCTATCCCAGAGTATTCACACACACCAGGCCAGTACGTCGCTAGGCGACACACTCTTAGGGGACCACGGTCACAGACTGCGTTCTCACTGACTGAAACACTGCTGCTATGTGGTACGTGGCTGCACTGCCTGTGAGACGTGATACTGGGGAAGGGGAGACTGCCCTCCCCCCTAAGAAAAAGAGCACGGCAGTGTTTCCCATGAAGCCTTTCCAAGAGAGAATACATAATCTGGTAGCTAAAGAGGTGTTTTCTGCTTAAGTTTTTCTACAATCTGGAGAGAAAATATATATCTATATACTCATTTCTATATATATGCACACACATAGACACTTGATACACATAAACCTTCATTTAGAAATATACGTACACACACACACATCCAGAGAGACAGACAGTTTGCCTGATCTCCATTTCTCAGAATGCATGGCTAACACCTTCTCATCAGAATGAGACACCCTGGACAGGGAAGACAATATTCTAGCCACAGAAAACCCGCATCTTCCCAGGTGCAGGCGTCTGGGCTGGCAGTCAAGACGCCACATCCCACACAGGAGCGCCTGGTTCACCTGCCTCCAGCTCTGACTCCGGTTTCCTGCCGATGCAGACCACGGGACGCAGCAGAGACGGCTCAAGTGCCTGAGCTGCCAGCTCCTGCCCTTGTGGCACTTCGGCAGTGCCCAGCAGATGGGAGCTCTTTCTCTGTCTACTCACCTTATTCTCTCTCAAATACTTGTCTATTTAATTTCAAAATACATTTTCCACATGTTGAAGTAACAACTCGGCCATTCTTTGTTGCTTAGGAATTTAGCTGGTCTGACAACCAAGCGGACTAATCCGGTTCTCTTGGGGACCAGGAGGGGTTCACTCCAAACCATTTCACACCACAGTGAGAGCACCATGAGTGGATCACTACATCAATTTAGTGTCACCTGAGATCAGCATTTTTGGGTTTTGTTTTTATATTTTACAAAACGGACATAATCGGAGACTCTTTAAGTACATTACAGTCTCAGAAAGTAAACACGTTTGCTTCAATGTACATACTCCTTTGTGCACAGGGTCTCAATACAGATTGTATTTCTTTTTTTTAATACAGATTGTATTTCCTACAGTGGATCCAATCAAAAAGAGCAAAAGACACTATTCTTGGCTACCCAATTATCTAACTTCCGCTTACAAACAGGCATCCTTGGCTTAAAGAGAAAGGTACTTACTTCCTTTAAGCAGAGGGCTGAAGCGAATGACGACACTGGCAGACCACCGCTGACTGCAAGCCTGGGGACCCTGAGCTCCCACCACTCACTGACTCCCTGAGATTCTGGACCCATCAGGGTGTTTAGGGGCACTACTACACAGTCTGGCTTTTACAAAGGCATAAATAGAAAGTCAAAATATACTTTTAGTGGAAAATAAAAATGTAAGGCCAATAAATAAAACAGAAAACAGGACTTACTAGCTGACACCCCAAACTCTTGCAGGGCACATGAGACAGAGAAGCATCTCTGTATCAGCTGCAATGAAACTGTGCAGTAAACAGAAATCAGCCTTACTCTCCAGTATGAACAAGGTTTGGTTCCCAGAAGAACTAAAGACCATTTCCATCTTTACTGGTCATTAGACAGCTACATAGCTACAAAGCAGTCTAAATCAAAGAGCCGATTTTAAATGAAAGTCTTTGAACATCCTTTAAAAAAATTTTTTTTTTACTTGAAAGGCAGAGTGACAAGAGAAGGACAGAAAGAGAGGGGGGGGGAGAGAGAGAGAGAGAGAGAGAGCGCACGTGCGAGGGCTCTTCCAACTAATGGTTCAGTTCCCAAATGCCAACAACAGCTGAGGCTGGGCAAGGTTGAAGCCAGGAGCCAGGAACTACGTCTGCAGCTCCCAACAGAGCGGAGGGGACACAAGTACCTCGGCCATCCTCCATTGCCTTCCCAGGCACATTAGCAGGAAGCTGCATGTGACGCAGAGCAGTGTTCTGTTAGGGATACTGGATTCACAAACAGAGGCTTAACCCACTGCACCACAAGGCCAGCACTGAATCTCCTTTGCATAAACTAAAAAGAACCCTCATTATTTAGTAAATACTAATTATAATGGCCCTGGTGAGCAAAGAATACAAAGTGAGCGTGACAATCACTGCCTCAGTGCCCCCATCCCCTGCCCATTGCTCCACCTCCACTGGCACCACTGACTCGGAGCTCCTGAGAACACAGAATCCTGGTTACAACCCCATCACCACCTGGGTCCACCATCTCACTGCCTTCCCTGGAGCCCACAAGAAATTTAGAAAAAGGTGGCAGGAATGCTCCCACCATCCCACTGAATTGGTTTTAAATATAAGCTTCCAGGCAGAGCTTTTCAGAAACACAACACAAACCAGCAAGTTGAGGAACTCCTACTAACCATCAAACTGCTGGCCTGAGCCAAAGCTGTAGTTTAATTTCCTGTTTTAAATTTTGGCATCTATATAACTTTTTTAAAAAAGTTCATCTTCTCACATGCAAAACTAGGGGACTGACCCCTCTGGTACTGCAAACCCCATGAGGATCTGCCAACACAGGTGCTGAGAAACACTATTCCGGTGAAGCGCCGGGACTCTGGGTGGCTCCCGCGCACACGTGGCAATGAGACAGCCAATTTCACGTGGCATGACCTTGCCCAGCCCAACATGACAGTCTCATCGGCTGGCATGCACTTGTGATGAGGCCAGTGCCATTCAAACTGAATGTTTAATTATCCTTAAATAATTTAAATCTAAAAACTGACACTTATTTCATTACTGGGAAAACTTTCTACACTTAGACAAACCTGAGTATATTAATCTGCTGTCTGATGAAAAAGTGGTAAGATTTATGAACTGTAAATATAGACCAAGTATTTCCAATGAAAATTTTGCTTCAATGAAGTGTGTTATAAGTATAAAATATGGAGACCAGCGCTGTGGCTCACTTGGCTAATCTTCCCTCCCCCTGCAGCGCCAACATCCCATATGGGCACCGGATTCTGTCCCGGTTGCTCCTCTTCCAGTCCAGCTCTCTGCTGTGGCCCAGGAGTGCAGTGGAGGATGGCCCAAATGCTTGGGCCCTACACCCGCATGGGAGACCAGGAGGAAGCACCCAGCTCCTGGCTTCGGATTGGCGCAGCGTGCCAGCTGTAGCAGCCATTTGGGGAGTGAACCAACGGAAGGAAGACCTTTCTCTCTCTCTCACTGTCTAACTCTGCCTGTCTAATAAAAAAAAAAATAAAATATATACCAGATTTCAGACTTAATATGAAATTAATGTAAAATAATGCATTAATATTTCAATTACATGTTGAACAAGGGTACTTCCAAAAGTTCAAGGAAAATGGAACTTAAAGAGACAACGCAGTGCACATTTTCAACAAATGTTTGAAACATCCTGATATACTGTGTTAAATAAAAATACATTATTAGTGTGGCAGGCGTTGTGGTACTGCGTTTAGGACTCCAGTATTCCACATACAACTGGTACAAGTCCCAGTTACTCCGCTTCCAACCCAGCTTCCTGCTCGTGTACCTGGAAGGCAGCAGACACTAACCCAAGCACTTGTAACCTGCCACCACATGGGAGACCCAGATGGAGTTGCTGGATCTTGGTGTTAGTCTGGCCCATCCCCCATCTCTCTGTCACTCTTTCAAATAAGTCTTTTTTTTTTAAAATGAAATTAATTCTAATAATATACATTTTATTTTATTTTTTTTAAAGAATTATTTTATTTATTTGAAAGACAGAGTTACAGGAGAGATAGAGACAGAGAGAGAGGTCTTCCATCCGCTGGTCTACTCCCCAGATGGCTGTAACAGCCGGAGCTGCACTGATCTGAAGCCGGGAGCCAGGAGCTTCCTCTGGGTCTCCCACGCAGGTGCAGGGGCCCAAGGACTTGGGCCATCTTCTACTGCTTTCCCAGGCCATAGCAGAGAGCTGGATTGGAAGAGGGGCAGCTGGGACTAGAACCGGCACCCATATGGGATGCCGGCGCTTCAGGCCAGGGAGTTAACCTGCTGTACCACAGCGCCAGCCCCAATATACATTTTATTTTTAAGATTTATTTATTTGAAAGGCAGAGTAACAGAGAGAGAGAGAGAGAGATCTTCCATTGCTGGTTCACTCCCCAAATGCCTGCAACCTGGGCCCATTGTTGGCAGGCGTTCCAGTGGGAAAGGTTCAGGGCAATTATTGGAGTGTCCTGTCCTAGCCCAGGCTGAAGCCAGGCGTCTGGAGCTCCATCCAGGTCTCCCACGTGGGTGGCAGGGGATCAAGCACTGAGCCATCATCTGATGCCTCCCAGGTTCATCAGTAAGGAAGCTGGATCAGAAGTCCAAGTAGCTGGGACTCGAGCTCACACTCTAGTATGAGATGTGCAAGTCACAAGGGGTGGCCCAACCCACTGAGCCACAACACCACTCCTTACCCTTTTTTTTTTTTTTTTTGTAACGCAACTCCAGGAAAAGTTAAATAACATACGTGGCCTGTACTCTATTTCTCTGGACGGGGCTGGCGTAATCTAATAATTGCCCTTAGCCTTTCCCACTGGAACACCTCCCAACACAGGGCCCAGGAACGCTGCCATAACCAAATACCCTTCTTCCTGTGCAGCACATAATACTGCTGACCACACCTGCGACGGACAACTCCCTTGCTCGTGTTCAGTGACTGTGGCCGACTGTCCTCCTCCATCACCACCTCTCTTTTCATCCTCGCCCAGGTGCTCTTTCTCTTCCTGTCCCCAAGGCCCCACTCTCGGTTCTCTTTTCTATTCTTTACACTCCGAGGTGACCTCATCCACTCCCTCGGCTTCATTGTCGCTGCTCTGGGGAAAGCTTCCAGTTCCTCATCTGCACCCTGACCTCCTTCTCGAGCCGCAGCTCCTGCTAAGCAGTGCATGTGGAGCGCGCACTAACTTCTCCAGCTCAGGGCTGACCCGCAATCCGTCGTCTTCACTACAGCTGCAGGTTCCCGCCGTTCGAAACCTAGAGTCTCTGGTCCCTTGCCTGGTCCTATGCCCACCGTCTTCAAGCAGGTCCTTTCCCAACAGCCCTTTTTGCCATAGCTTCCCAACTGGCCCCCTAGACCCTAAATTCTCCCTGTGGTCCCCCGTTCCCAGTCCTCCTCTGCCCCACAGCCATATCAGTATTCTCAAAATGCCACCTGGCCACTCCGCCATCCAAGTTTCAACAGACACTCCCCGCCCCACAGCCACAGAGATGCAGCCACTCAGCAGGTACCCTGATCCTCTGCAATCCAACTGCCGATCGACCCTTGGACGTGCCCAGCCCTCCTCCACCTGAAAGGCTTGCTCCTGCTCTTCTCATCACAACTCTGACCAATCTGTAAGGCTCAGCTCAACAAACACAAAGCTCCAACAGATCGGAGTTCTCCTCTCTCAAACTCCTACAATTTCTAATGACCACCATGGTAGTGGGCATACAATGGCAGTATCTTTCTGTAAGACAGCAGCCCCTTACTGCACACTGTAGGAATGCCATCTTTGGACATCTCACCAAAGAAAACATGGAAAAATGAAACTCTTGGTGAACTTGGAACTGCTAACTACTCCAGCTCTTCATCAGGATATCCCAAGATTCAGTAACTCCCAACACTGGCCTCATGAAGTCAGCTCCACATGTGTCCCTCATCTAAACGGACTGTAACTCAGGGAACTGCAGCACCATTCCTCCCAGCAGACCAGGCCAGAGACACGGGTGTGAGTTTCTAATTTCCCCAACCCTGCCTTCTCACTCTCAGTGATCAGTCCTGTGATAGCTTCCTAACGTCTCCAGTTTACCCGCTTCTTTCAATTCTGCTGTCAGTTCAGGCCATGACTCCCTTGAGAGTACTGCGATATCAGCTGGTCTTATATTCAACACCCAGCCACTCTCCACAACACAACTACTGTTGTCTTTCAAAAATCCAATCTCAGGGCAGCTGTTGTGGTGCAGAAGGACACTAGTTTGAGTCCCAACTTCTCTACTTCTTCTATTTTTTTTTTTTTTTTAAATTTTATCTGGAAGTCAGAGAGAGAAACCTTCCATCTGCTGGTTCACTCTCCAAGTGACCGCAATGGCCAGTGATAAGCCAGGCTGAACCCAGATGCCGGGAACTTCATCTGTGTCTCCTAGGTGGGTGGCAGGGGCCCAAGCATTTGGGCCATGCTCCATTGCCTTTCCTCCACTGCTCAGAAGTGGAACAGCCAGGACACAAACCGGCAACCGTGGGATGCTGGCATTGCTCGCTAAGCCACAACCCCCCACTCAGTTGCAGATCCCTACTAATGTGCCTGGGAAGGCAGCAGAAAATGGCCCAAGCGCTTGGACCCTGCCATTCATGTAGGAGATCAGGATGGAGTTCCTGGCTCTGGGCTTCAGCCTGCCCAGCTTAGCTATTGCAGGCATTTGAGGAGTGAACCAGAAGACAGAAAAAACCGTACACTTTCTACCTATCAAATAAGTAAACCAACAAATAAATAAATTGGGACTTGCATTGTAGCATAGCAGGTAAAGCCACCGCCTGCCATGCTGGCATCCCTTATGGACACCGGTTTGAGTAACGGCTGCTCCACTTCCAATCCAGCTCTTTGCTGTGGCCTGGGAAAGCAGCAGAAGATGGCCCAAGTTTTTGGGCTCCTGCACCCATGTGGGAGACCCGGAAGAAGCCTCTGGCTCCCAGATGCTACAGCCAACTGGGAAATGGACCAGTGGATGGAAGATGGAAGACCTCTCTCTCTCTCTGTCTCTGTTCCTCTCCACCTCTCTGTGTAACTCTTTCAAATAAATAAATAAATCTTTAAAAAATATTTTTTGAAAATCCCAGTCTGAATGCTGACATTCATGCTTAAGACTCGTCAGCTGTTCTCAGCGTAGACTTCCACACATGAACTCAGTTTTCTGGCTCTGGCCAGGTTTTTGCTTTTCAGCTTCACCTCTTATTTTCCAGATTATTTCTTCCCTTGGAGACATTATAGGCCGAGGACCTCCAATTACTCTATATGCTGGTCCCCAAATATGTCAATTTCCACTCTTGCCTCAGGGACTTTGTACAAGCTATTACCTCTGTTTAGGTCAGGTGTCCTTTCTGTGTAATCATCCAACAGCCTGAGAATTGGCCAGCCGCCTCCCATTTATATTCTAACTTTAGCAATGGGGCTTGGAGCAGATCTTCATAATAGTTCTTTGCTAGTACTTTGTTCAATGCCTAGCATATAGTAGGCATTCAACAATTAATTATTTGCTGAATGAATGAGTAAACAGACCATAATTCTCTGAGGTTTTATAAAACAATTTCCAAGGTCAATGAATGAAAACCATTTCTGCATCATCCATATTAATTCAACAGCACTGCGAAAAGTGGGCAATTGACCTAAATTTTAATTTATCTTTTGAGTCAAAACTAGTTATTGTTTGGTTAAGTAAACAGAATTCACATGTGCGGGCACAGAATCACCAAAAGGAAGAACACTGTATTCTGTGTTCTCTGTGGGGTAAACTCCAAGAGCAGCGCATGTGAAACTGAGAACCTTTCGATGCAAAACGTATGAAAAGCAGCCAAGCCAATGTGGATACGTCCCAGAGGCAGAGCCTGAAGGAAACTAGAGAGTAGAGAGATGACATCAGACCATAGGAATGTGAGGACTGTAATGGAAAGGCTCAGCCCAGCTCCTGGCTCTGCTCCTGCCAGTCGGGCACAGGCAGAGCCGAGAGAATGGCGAGAATGGCGGCCTTCTGTGGGGTCATAAAAGCCTTTCTGGTTCATTCAACAGAAGGAGACACTGCAGAGGGGGAAACACTCAGGGCCCAGTCCTAGCGTGCAACACTTCCTCCGTGCTTCACAACAACGCACTTCCCTCACATCTGCCCAGCTACCTCAAGCACACTTCACCAAGTACCTATTCCTGCAAGCCCTCTGCTCGCAGTTCTAAGGAAACAAATGACATAATTTCAGACAGTGACACAATCAAGGGGTATTTAAAAAGCAAACCGAGGGGGCCGGCGCCGCGGCTCACTAGGCTAATCCTCCACCTGTGGCACCGGAACCCTGGGTTCTAGTCCTGGTTGGGGCGCTGGATTCTGTCCTGGTTGCCCCTCTTCCAGGCCAGCTCTCTGCTGTGGCCAGGGAGTGCAGTGGAGGATGACCCAAGTGCTTGGGCCCTGCACCCCATGGCAGACCAGGAGGAAGCACCTGGCTCCTGGCAGCCATTTTGGGAGTGAACCAATGGAAGGAAGACCTTCCTCTCTCTCTCTCACTCTGTCCACTCTGTCAAAAAAAAAAAAAGCAAACTGAGGGACTGTTTGCTCTAGTGGCTAAGTCACCCGTTCACCATCTGGCTGTGGCTCTAGTCTCCAGCACACCCTCTGAGACAGTGCTGCCTTAAGATCCAGGTGGGAGACCTGGATTGAGTTCTTGGCTCCTGACTTCAGTCCAACCCAGTTCTGGCCTTCACAAGCATTTATTTGGGAAGTGAGTGGCAGATGGGAGCTTGCTTCTCAAATAAAAGTTTTAGAAAAGTCAAGCTGAGGGATATAACAGAGTAACTCTGAATGTGTTGCAAAGTTCACAGAGATAATTCAAAAGATGTTTTTGAAGAGAGAGTTGCAGAGCTAAAGATAACAAAGATAAGGCAACTATCATGTCAAACCTTAAATGGAACTACCAGAAGCAAAAACTAACACTCCTTGCTTGGTTATCAGTAAAGAGAACTACAGCCCAA